ATCTTCTTGTGAGCCTATGGCTGAAAAATCAATTCCCAGTCCCACATTCTGTGCCGGACCCCGATGGTTGTGCTCTCTGTGATCTCCAGTGCCTGCACCACTGCCATGTGTCTTGTGATCTCCATCAAGCCCCTGACTGAAACTGTTGTGAGCATTATAGGCAGGAAGTGCCGCCTTGGCAGCATGCAGTGAGGACCCAACTAGCCTCTAGAGAGCACTACATCCAGAATATGTGAGAAGCACCACCACAGTGGGAGCCAAGACCAAGAGTATGAACACTGCAATGCAATGTGTGACCCCTAGGCAACATCACAAATGCAGTGTGTGAGCACATCAGCCAGGAGTGAACATGTCACTACAGTAACACAGGGAAGAGGGGAATGCAAAATGAATTGGTACTGATGCTGCCTTAAAGGGCTGAAACACATTCTTTGAAGAGGAGAGCTCTAGATTTCATCTCCAGTGGTCTCCTAAGCACCCCCCCCAGGAGTACTTAGGAGACCTGAGCACTGCTGGATGTGGTCCCCAAATAAAAAATACTGTCCATCTGTGTTGCAAACCATAATGCCCAAAAGTAGAGAGAGAGTATAGGGAATATTGCCTGCCATGGAGGCAGCGGGAGGGTGGGAAAGGGGGGTAGCGTGGTATATCGGGGATATTGGTGGTGGGGAATGTGCACTGGTGGAGGGACAGGTGTTTGATCATTGTGTGATTGTAACCCAAACATGAAAGCTTGTAACTATCTCATGGTGATTCAATAAAATAAAAAAATACTGCCCCAATAATGCCCCAATAAACCCACAAACCCATAAAAACCTTCTTGGTAACCTCAGAATCAGGAATAGATGTTTTGACCAAAAATTTAGAAAATTGCAAGGGAAAAGTTCTATGTAGAAACTCAGAAAAAGAAACATAAAAATATAAAACAACCAGGAAACAAAAGATAGATCATATCACCAGTATGATCTATCACTTTTAGGTAGTGACAGAGCACATGGTATGGTTATGATAAAGGATGGAGAAAAGAAAAATAGTGATTAGCAACTGCCTGCCAGAGCAGAGCTAACCCTGATTTATCTACTTTTTATTTCTTTTTTGTTTTTGTTTTGGGATACACCTGGCAGTGCTCAGGGTGGACTCGTGGCTCTGAGCTCCTAGCAAGGGACCATATGTGATGCTATATGTATTAAGAAACTGGTATATACAGAATAGAACATGGGTTGGCTGCATGCAAGGAACGCACACTGTTCATCATCTGTATTATCATCCTCACTCTCCCTCTATGTGGGGTGTGACCAAAGCAAACAAACACAGATCAGCCTTAAGTGACCACTAAACATACTGGTGATATGATCCCAAGACTATGTTAATATATCAAAAAAACATGCTTCTCTGCACCATGAGTTTATGTTTGCCATGTTACTCTTCTAAAATGGTTGAATATGGTCAAAGCCTAACTTTCAAGTTTAGGGAGGGAAAAATGTAAGGAGAGGTGGGAAGTCACAGCAGATAGGAAGAATGCCCACTCCTTGTTCTCTTCCTCTTTCTCAGGTGCTTGCTTTAAATTCTGTGCTCTCCATAACGTCATTCTGGGGAGGTATAAGAACAAGGGATGTGTTCCCAGAGCTGTAACAACAAAAATCACCATATGATTTTATACCAGTAATCAAAAAGATGAGAACGGTATGAATTAACCAATCAGAAGACACAATGTGGCTATATGGATGAAAAGACTACATTCATCTATTTTTCATAGAAAAAATAATGTAGACTCATGGTGAAAGGCATACGTTTTTAAAAAGAGGTGTGCCACACCCTACAGTGAGAAGTGGTGCTGTGGGTCCGTGAGGGTCTATGTGTGCTGGAGTCAAACTCAGGACCTTGACCACGTAGGTGTCTGCTGCTTGAGCTATTGTCTCTGTCCTCGGGTTGGGTTTTTAAAGGCAGTTAACAGAGAAAAAAGGAGGGGATGTTGTACTGGATAAAGAAGCAGGTATATAAAGAAATAGAATATATTTCAATGGAGTATTGTTCACCTATTTTTTGTATTTTGTTTTTTGTGCCACACCTGGTAGGCTTAGGGCATACTTCTTGCTTAGAGTCTACTTTTGGTGGGTCTCTGAACCATGTGGAGTGTCAATAACAAACTTGAGTTGGCCTGACAGAGAGTATGACAAGTGACCGACTTGGTGTACTCTCTCCAGCCCCTGTATTTTTATTCTTACCTGTGGATATTTAGGTTATGCTGTACTATCACAAAAAATGGCACTAAATGTTTTAATGTATTATGTATAGTTAACATACGTTTACACAAAATATAATATATAAATGGGCTGGAGCGATAGCACAGTGGGTAGGGCGTCTGCCTTGCAAGCGGCCAACATGGCCGACCCGAGTTCGATTCCTCTGCCCCTCTTGGAGAGCCCGGCAAGCTACCAAGAGTATCTCACCTACACGGCAAAGCCTGGCAAGCTACCCGTGATGTATTCGATATGCCAAACACAGTAACAATTGTCACAATGGAGACATTACTGGGCCCGCTCGAGCAAATCGATGAACAACAGGAGGACAGTGACAGTGATAATATATAAATACATCATATTATATATATGTATGTCTCAAAGGCCAAGATCCAAAGACTATAAAACAAAGCTCCTGGAAGAAAGCGAGGCAGTATTTCCTCCATCCCTCTCGGAGAGCCTGGCAAGCTACTGAGAGGATCCTGCCTGCACTGCAGAGCCTGGCAAGCTACCTGTGGCATACTCGATATGCCCAAAACAGTAACAAATGATGGTCCTCATTCCCCTGACCCTGAAAGAGCCCCCTATACACCTTCGGGCTACTCTAGCAGGAGACAGGGATGTATGGAGGCGTTACTGGCGCCCGCTTGAGCAAATCGATGAACAACGGGATAACAGTGATACAGTGATTGTTCATCTATTAAAATAGGTGAATTTGACACACAAAATGAGAAAAACCTGGTAGAACTGATGAAAACTACAGTGCTTACTGGAGGAAAGCGTTTGTGAGAAGTACAAGGTCTTTTTGGTGGTGGGTGTTATTGAAAATACAGTGGTGGGTAAAGTATTACCTCACATCTCTGTACTTACAGAGATGTGAGGCTAAACTCCTACATTTTTATATTGTTATATTTTATAACAAGGATATATCAATTTTATAAACCAAAGATACATCAATAATTTTTTAAAAATATATTTTTTAAGATGAGTGCCCTTTATGTTGACAACATGATGAAACTTGAGGGGTTCTTGTCAAATAACATAATCAGACAGTGAAGTACAATTAGGGAGTATTACCCTCATGTGTTATACAGTATATGAGTATTACCCTCATGTGTCCTCCAGTTGTTCATGGATTTGCTTGAGCATGCACCAGTAACGTCTCCATTGTGAGACTTGTTGTGACTGTTTTTGGCATATCAAATAAGACACCAGGAGCTTGCCAGGCTCTGCCATGCAGCTGGGTTACTCTCAGTAGCTTGCCCGGATCTCCGACAGGGAGGAAGGAATTGAATCCTGGTCGGCCATGTTCAAGAAAAATGCCCTACCTGCTGTGCTATCGCTCCAGCCTGATTAAAAAGTAAATAAAGATAAAAATGATTAAAATGTTTTAATTTTTATATAGTTTTTAAATTTAAAAATTAAAAAGAAAATACAAAAAAATAAAAGAAATATGTTCTGAAAAGTCACTTCCCCGCAGCTGAGAATTGGAGAACCGGGCCGTGAGTGCAGGTGCTGAAACAGGGCACACCTGGATGGCGTGGGCCGTCTCTGGGCCTCGGTTTCCCTGTCCTTTGAGATAAAGTCAGCCTTCTACACAGTGAACATAAACTGTGTTATATAAACAAAGGAAATTGGCAAAATACAACAAGGACAAGTCAGAGACTCTGAAAAAACGGTTTCCAGAAGGAAAAGGAAAAGGGTACACGGATTGGGTAAGGGAGTCAATTTAATAGTGTGAGGCACTGGAACTTAAAACATTAGCATTCTAGCCTTTTTTAAGAAGTGTTTTGTGCCGTATTCTGCTTGCACTGCAGGTGTGCTCCTGAGTCTGAGTCTGGCTGGACGGGGCTCTGGTTCCAGGCCCACGGCCACCTTCTGCACGTGCCCTCCGGCCCTAGTCGGTGTCTCCCCGCCTCCAGCTGACCTCTCCTTAGCTACGGAATTTAATGTGTCCAAGTTATTTTTACTACATTTCGTGCTTCTGGGAGTGTTCAGTGTGACGGCTCTGCGTGGCGTTACTTGGGTAATAGCGTCCGCACGGCTCGACCCTCCGCGCTGCTGCTCCGAGCCCAGCGGGTCCCTGCGCCTGGGGGACCCCGCAACAGCGCTCACTGCCCCGTACTGGGGGCTCTCGCCTTTGCGAAACTCGCTGGGGTAGCTCTCCCCTCTCGTCATCTCAGAAAGCGAGCACTGTGGGGACCCGAGCACGGCCACGCCGGGCAGGCACTGCGGGACCCGAGCACGACCACCGCCGGGCAGGCACTGTGGGACCCCGAGCCTGGTCACCGCCGGGGAGACACTGTGGGACCCTGAGCACGGCCAGCGCCGGCAGATATTGGCCACCGCTCAGAGGCTGGCCCGACAGGCTGCATCCCAGTGCCGCTGCGACGGGGGCCGACACGGCTTCTCGGGACACACGGGGTTACCATCCCGGCGCTGATCTGGTCACTAGCGCTCGCACTCCGCACGGCTGCGAGCAAGTTCAGCGCCGGACGGCCAGCGTCCCAAACAGGTGTGCACTGCAGGGCGACCCGGGCTAGGCGAGAGTGCGCCTGCGCGGCGGGGGCTGCCGCGGCTAGGCTAGAGTGCGCGTGCGCGGCGGGAGTAGCCTGGGCTCCGCGCAGGCGAGAATGCGCGTGCGCGTGCGCGCCCGGGCGGCGGAGTGGCGCACATTGATGAGGTCATACGCACGCCGCGCGGCGCGGCGACGGTGCTGCGTCACGGGCTGTGGGCGCCGTGCTCCCGGGGACGCTGAGCGCTGCGTGCCTCCCTCTTGGCCTCCCGTGGCCCGGGCGCCCGGCCGGCGGCGCGATGCGGCGCAGCAAGGCCGACGTGGAGCGCTACATCGCCTCGGTGCAGGGCTCGGCCCCGTCGCCCCGCGAGGTGAGTGCGCGGGCAGGGCGGCGTCGCCGGCGTCGGGGCTGAGGCGCCCTTGGGCCTGCGGCGGGCGCCGGCGCCGGCGCGAGGCCGGGCGGCGCGGGGCTCTCGGGGTCTGCGCGGGCCGGGCCCCGCCGCCGCCGCAGGTCTCCCTGCCGCAGGTCTCCGGCGCCCGGCGCTGCGCACAGTGGCCGATCCACGCTGGAGCGACGGCCTCCTGGCCTGTCTCGGGCCCGCGCCGAGGCCGGGGAGAGCTGTGGGGCGTCGTGCCGAGCCGGGGACGGGCGGCAGGGGCCTAGCCCGGGGAGGCCTGTGGGGAGACCCGTGGGAGAGCCGGGGGCGGGCGGCTGCACGCTCCGCGTCCTCTCCCCGAGCACCGGCTGGGTGGCTCCTGACAGGCCCAGGGGTTTGGGCAGGTCCCTGCGGACATGCTGCGGGCCTGTCACGGCGAGGAGGGGGCCGCGTCTGAGAAGTCGGCAGCGAGGGTTTTGGTGCCTGACAGCTTTCTCCTCACGGAAAGGACGTCGTGTTTCTTAGCAGAGGCTCGGAAGGTGAGGGACCGCTGGTCCGGGCGAGTCACCGGCCCTCTTGGCGGCCGGTTCTCGGGCCGGGACAGCGCCTGGGCTCGGGCCGCGCGGTTCTGCGGCTTTCCAGGTTCAGGTTCAGAAATGTGCGGGCGATAGCTTTTGTACCTCCCAGACGTGTATTGTGCTTTCCGTAGGTCGTTATTTTATTCAGTGTGTATTTTTCTACTTCATACCTGTTATTACCTTTGAGGAAAAACACCCTTCTTATAGTCTCTGGGTTATTTTAACCTGTTGTTTTCCATCAAACAAGAAGCTTGATTTAGGCCTTGAAAGATACTGATCAGTATCTTTGGAATTTATGAAGATGTTTTATGAATGTACGTCTAAGCGAAAGGACGTACGTGGTGGGCAGAGACGGCCGTTGTGAAGTTGAAAGAGATTAGAAGTTTATTTGGTGGAGACTGACCTTGTGTGATCTGATCCCTCCCCCCAGCCTTTTTTTGGGAAGGAGGACAGTAGTGCTCAGGGATGACTCCTGGCTCTACTCTCCGATTGCTCCGGGTAGGGCTTGGGAATTGGACTACTTTCTAGGATGTCTACGTTCTGAGGTGTGATGGCAATTCCCAGGTCTCTTGCTGCTTTCCTTAAGGGTCTTTTCTACTTCATACCTGTACCTTGAGAAAATCCTAGTGTGTTTCATGGGGCCAGAACATAGTACACGCTGTGGTGTATTTGCTTTGCTTGTGTCTGACCTGGAAATCTACCCCCAGCACCCCATTCGGTAACCGGAACCCCCCAGGAGTTATCATTGAGCTCAGACCAGAAATAAGCCCTGAGCACCGGATGGATGTGCGGAAACAAAATCCCAGCGCCTTTCTTTTTCCAGAAGACTTCTATTTAGTTTTCCTAGATTTCTGTCTAGTTGTTACTTTAAGTTTGCTATAGTTATGTGCTTGTAAGTTATTTCTACATCTCTTTATGCTTGATTTTTTTTTTTTAGTGCTGAATACTATTTCCTCTAGATGTACTACAATAGAGAATACTTTGGTTGCTGTGAAGTTTTGCGGTAAACATGTGTATATGGGTTTTATTATGGATTAAGTTTCTAGCTTCTCTGAATAAACTGGGGCCAGCAAGAGTGCTGTGCATAAAGTGCTTGCCTGCATCCCATGTAGTGCTTGAGCACAGTCAGCCCTGAGCGTAACCTGGTATCGCCCATTTCCACTCTCCATTCCAAAATAATTAAATGCCAGGGATTGCTATTGATGAAGCATATAGTATAAATTATATATTTATTTTTTATGGACTACTCTTGGCAGTGCACAGGGCTAACTCATGATTTTGTCCGTAGGGCTTTTCCCTATCTCTGACTTCAGGGATAAAACTCCTGGTGGTGCTTGGAGGACCATATGGCAGTGCTCAGGGATTGAACCTGGGTCTCCTGCGTGCAAGGCAAGGGCCTTGCCCACTGTTTTGTCTCTGGTTTCAACACAAAGTACATTTATGTTAGTTTATGAAAAACTGCCAAACTATCTTTAAAAGTTGCTGTTCTATTTTACACTCCCACTAGCAGTGAATAAATTGTGTAGTATCACTTTCTTGCTGGCATTTGTTTCTAAAATTTAGAAAAAGTTCTACAGAGGTTTTTGAAGTTTAACTTATGTTTGATTCCCGCACTATCTATGGTTCCTCAGCACTGTCAGAAGAGATCCTGAGCACAACCAGGTGTGTGTGTATATGTGTGGTGTGTGTGTGTGTGTGTGTGTGTCTCGGGCGTTGGAGGGGTGGGAGATGATATTTCTTTGTATTGATTTATTCCAGTCTTACATGTTTACCTTTTTTGTCTTTCTTATTTGACAATGTATCTGTTTAAGTCTTGGACTCAGTTTCCTGGCTCTGCATTTCCATTAGTCCTGGCCTGCTTAGGAGACCATATGGGATGCCAGGGATCGAACCCGGGTTGGCCTCCTGCACAGCAGGCTCTTTACCCACTATACTAGCGCTCTACTCCGTGGGCTCATTTTTAATGGGGCTGTTTGTCCCCTGCTGCTCTCTCCTTTGTTTGCCTTGGTATTGGTACTTGTGGGGTTCACATACATTATATTGCTTGCACATGCCTGATGGCACCAGAGCCCTCAGGCTTCTAGATGATAGAGCTATGAGGACTGTGCTTTTTGCATTGTAGACAGGTAGCATCAGTGACTGAACTCATCGCCTTGTGTTTGCAAAGTAGGCATTTTTATTTAAAAAGATTTGAAAAAATACTTTTTTGGGTTTTGAGCCACACTTTGTGCACAGGGGCTATTCATGACTCTGTGCTCAGTCAGGTTTGGCCCTTGGGGATGTATGTGGTAGGACCCAAGGCAAATGCTTTAGCCATGGTACTATGTCTCTGGTCTGAGCAGGCATTTTCTAGCCACTGAGATATTTCCTGTGCTGTTCCTCGCAGTTTTGTTTTTTGGGCCATATCGGTCTTCCTCAGGGCCTTTTTGGCTTTATGCTCAGGACTGGCCCCTGGCTGTACCCTGGGGACCATTTTTGGTTCTAGGATTTGAACTTGGGTCATTGGAATGCCAGGTATACTGCCTAACCCCTCTACTATCTATCTGGTTCTTCTTGTAGACTTTTAAAAGTTACTAGCACTTTTTGGGTAACAGTCCTTTTCCAAGTGTACTCTTTTACAAATATTTCTCCTAATGTGTAGTTTTTCTTTTTGTTCTCTTGTGGTCTGTAGTCTTTTAACTCTTTCATGAGTTCTGCCTTTGGTGTTGGATTTTAAAATTCATGGCCATGGGGTTGGAGCAATAGCACAGTGGGTAGGGTGTTTGCCTTGCATGCTGCCGACCCGGGTTCAATTCCCAGTATCCCATATGGTCCCCTGAGCACCGCCAGGGGTAATTCCTGAACGCAGAGCCAGGAGTAGCCCCTGTGCATTGCCAGGTGTGACCCAAAAAGTTAAAAAAAAAAATTCATGGCCAGGGATATTGCTCAGTGCTTAACACATATGTGGCATGTGACCCAACCTGGCTTTGATCCCTGGCATTATCAAAAGTCATAGCTAAAACTAAAGTCATTGTACTTTTCTTCTCTGTTAATTTCTAGAGATTTTAGGTTTTGCATTTTATTTTTATTATTTATTTATTTATTTTTGTTTTTTTGACTACACTTGGCAGTGCTTAGGGGATACTCCTTTCTCTGCGCTCAGTAATCACTTCTTGGCAGTGCTCAGGGGATTGGGATCAAAACCAGATTAGCTACATTCAAGCAAACACTATACCACTGTACAATCTCTGACCCCCTGTTTTGCATTATATGTGTGATACGTTTTGGGTTAAATTTTCTGAAGAAGTTAAAATTTTGTGAAGAAAACTAATTTTGTGTAAGATCTGCATATAGATTGATTTTTGATCCAGATGTAGTTGAAAGACTGTCTTTTCTCCAGCATATTGTTTATGCTCCTTTGTCAAAAGTATCGGTGATATTTATATTGGGTTATTTCTGGGCTCCTAGTTTTTCACTTTGTTACTTACATTTTCATCAATAGTAAGTACATTTTCTTGATTATTATGGCTTTCTAGAATAGTTGAAGATGATATTTTGTGTCCTCCAACTTGATCCTTTTCTTACAATGTTGTACTATTACAGGCCTTTGCTCTCTGTGTAAAGTTTAAAATTACTTGTATAGTAATCTTAAATTATTTGCTGGAATTATGATTGGGATGGCATTGAATCAATAGAAGTTGTTGAGAAAAACTGACATCTTGACTCACGAACTTGTAAAATTACTTAATATATTTAGTTCTTTGATTTTGCACATTAGAGTTTTGTAGTTCGCTTCATAAAGAACTTGCCCTTGTTTTGTTAGAATTATAACCAAAGTTGGGGGGGGGGGTTGTAAGTATGTGGTATTGTTTTTGTTTCACATGTCACTTGATCTTTGCTGTCAACTTATTTTTTAGTTAATTTGTATCCTGCACACTTGTTCTAATTGCTTATTTCCAGTAATATTTTTATTCTTTTGATTTTCTTTATAGACAATCATGTCATCTGTAGTTTTATTTCTTTCCAGTTATACCTCTTTCATGTATTCTTTTGGGGGGCAATTTGGGCCTCATCTAACTGCACTTGGGGGCTACTCTGGACTCTGCTCATAAGTTCCTCCCACTGGTACTTAGGGGGTCTTTGTGGTGCTAAGGATCAACCCAAAGCCTCCTGTATGTAGAGCTTGTGCTTGGTGATGCCTGACTCTTTATTTCTTATTTTTATCTTACTGTATTATTAGCTAGCACTTCTAGTAGTTGATATAAAAGAGCAGGTGAGAGGGATCATCTTTGTCTTGTTTTTGATTTTAGTGAGAAAGCTTTAAATTCCTTGCCTTTTTTGTTTTAATTTGATTATTTTGAGGTGCTGATGGATCAAATGTAAGGTCTCACATGTAAGGCACATACTTTACTACTGAGCTGCAATACTGGGAGCAAT